CGTGTTCTCAGTCCCTGCTTTGATTTGGCATTTGAGCTGCACTGCAATTTTTAATTTTATAAAGTAGACAAACTTCAAAAAATAAATGATGGCTGACGCATTGAGTGCACGGTTTTACCTTATAATGTTTTTATCATGTTAAAGACTTTCTTTTAAAAAATATCTGTGTGTACATTTTTTGAGATTTACTTCACAGNTTGTTCTCATGCAGAACTAAACCAAAACTGGAACGCGTTCTCAGTCCCTGCTTTGATTTGGCATTTGAGCTGCACTGCAATTTTTAATTCTATAAAGTAGACAAACTTCAAAAAATAAATGATGGCTGACGCATTGAGCGCACGGTTTTACCTTATAATGTTTTTATCAGGTTAAAGACTTTCTTTTAAAAAATATCTGTGTGTACATTTTTTGAGATTTACTTCACAATAATTTTTAATTTTTCTAATTTTGTAATTTTTAATTTGTTATTTTCTATCTTTAATTTTTGCATCTGCCAACAACAACAACAATAATCAACGTTACCAAAAAATTACTACGAAAAATTCCTTACATACATATTTGTGTATACAAAATCTACCTATGCATTCTGCCCAATTTCTTCCGCATTCTATTAGTTAAGATACGATCCACTACTAGATATTCATCGCAGGGTAAAAGAGAAAAATAAACCGCTAACAATGAATTATACATCCTAGTAATTGCCCAATTTAGTGCAAATCGTATTACATATGTACATATAAATACATACATATAACAATAGTGACGTACATATTCACGTATACATTTATGCATACATGCTATATGTATACCTCCGCAATGATAAAGTCGAAAGTGATGCATATCTTGTAGTGATACCCTTGTCCTTACATACATACATACATGTACGAAAATATATATGTACATTAGGCGACAAATGAAAGGGTATACCTTGTTCTAGTATAATATTCACAATTATTTTCTTGGAAAACTTTTTGCATTAATTATTTAGGAAAATGTTCATTCTATAATGTAAATCATATAAATCAAAGCTTAACACTTTATATAAAGTTGGCAAAAATTCAAAAAAATTTCCAACTTTATATTCAGAATTTCTAGAAAATTTGTAGCCCACTCAATTTTCATTCTAATGAAGTTCAAGTTTCAAACGACTTGATTTAAGATAATTTTTTTTTTGGAGTCGGAATTTTGAACTTTTTTCTTATGAAATAAAATGCAGGAGGCCGCTAGCAAAAAAATTAAAAACAACTCAACGCCAGTTTTTGTAAATTGCACTTATTATGTAAATAAAATCAACGCGATTCTTTAGCCGGTTGAAACTAGCACTTCATTAAAATAAAATTGAATGTGCTACAAAACTGCATACCCGAAAAAGTGGAAAAGTTTGATGACAATTTTTGAATTTTTGTGAACTTTATATGAAGTGTGAAACTTTGATTTATATGATTTAGAATGAACTATATTTTCCCAAATAATAAATGCAAAAAATTTTCATAAAAACAATTGTGGATATTATACTAGAACAAGGTGTACACTTTCATTTGTCGCCTAGTGTATGTCTAATATATCTACTATTTGCACGGCAAGTTTTATAGTCTCTTAGATACATAATTAAAAACTATTTTTTTCTTTAATAATCTTATAAGCGTACCTACGTGTATACATACTTATGTATAAATTTGTACAGGCAAAAAATCTATGTATGTACAAGTACATATGTAAATGCTTTGGCTGCAACCGTAAACTAGCAATTAAAATGTTGAGAATTTGGTGGCAAATTTCCACGTCAAAATTTTGTAGTTTTGTGTGGCATTAAAAATTTAATTTTACATCTGAACTTGCACTCATTCGTATTTCCTTGTCATTCCAACAAATCGATCATTTGTGAAGCTTATAAATGGCATTTAAGATACATACATTAAAGGGTTAGATGTGAGCCGCACTGTGGGCAATTTCCAAACAAGGTCAAAGTGGAAAAAAAAATTAATTGGAAATTAAGCGTTTTTTATTCTATTTTATTCAGTTAAGATAAGTAGACATATATACTTTACTCAAAATTTTTGTTGTTGTTAAAATAAAAAAAATATAATTTATTTTAATGTTTTCACATTCACTTAATTCAAATCAAAATTTTTTTCTCTTGATTAAAATTATTGGCCAATTTTTGGATATAAACCTTGCAACTATGAAAACTCGCTGCTTGTGGTACGCTAAGCATTCGGCGACAGCTGGTTTATTGCATTAGGCAACAATTTACGCAAGCAGTGATTTGCTATGAAACTGAAAAGAAATATCATTATACGCATATTTAAGCATACATACATTTGTATATCTACATATGCATGTACATATGTATATATACACACCATACGGTTTTCATCAATCATTTTCGTATAAACTATTCGAGAGTTCATTTACAAAAGTACTTGAAGAAGCATTTTGAAATACTGTTATTCCGAGTCCACAATTAAATAAACTTCAATTAAGTAAAAAAAAATTGATTTTATTTTTGCGCGATATATGATTAATATATCGAAATTGCAATTGCTGGTATTCGAATTTATTATATATTTTGATTCAAGAGTCTTGAGTTAAACTTTTTGGTTAATGTCATTCATGCCATTCCAATGATGAGACACGTCCCGCGCATTCCGCATGTCACACTCTTTTTAGTGTTGTCGAAGGATGCACCACGCTCACACATCATTGCTGTTGTCACGAGCGACTGACAAATCGGCACTATGCTGACCATAGTTGCCAACTTGGTGCTTTAAGCACTACACTGAGGGAAATAATGCATAGTAAAAATGAATACTTTATATTTGATTATCGTTTAAAAATGTTCGTATTTAAAAATAATATTTTCATATAAAATTTATTACGCACGTATTTGAATATTTACCAATATTTACAGTACTTTCGTTGACGTTTATAGTAAGATCAATTACGTTTCTATTTGATTTTAATATTTTTTTCCCTCAGTGTAGATTTAGTGCTTTTTGAAAATTAAAACGCCAAAAAAAATTGTTCAGTGCCTCTTGCCTTTTTAGTACTCTCCTTCTGAACTCAAATTTCTCATAGATAAGTAAAACATGAAATAATTTGAAATATTTAAAGCTGTATCAGCACTGAAATTAAAAGAATCTACATTCGTTTTTTCGTTTGTTGCCATTCGATTTTTCTTTCTCTAAATATATCAGTTTTAATCTGCAGTATCTACTTCGTATCACTTCGTTAGCCCGAGAAAACGTTTTAATATATTAATAAATATTTGTTTTTTTTTTGACTTTTGTTAAATACGAATTGTTATGAAAAAAGTATCCTTTGGTACAAAAGAATTAGTGCTTTTAGTATGGTAAAACGCTTTTTTCCCCAAGTTTTGGTGCTTTTTGAAACTCAGAAGTTGGCAACATTGATGCTGACCGGTCGTAGTAGAGCTCATTAATCACTTTCGGGCTGTTGATGTTTTTTCGCATTAGTTCTCAATTTAATTTGAATGCCCATTAATTTACCAACAGAGTGCACATATACATATGTACATACATATGTCACATAAATACTCATACATGCCTAAATAAATATATTTAAGAATACTTTTTTTTTTGAGTTTTACAATACCTCTCGATGACGTTTCTGCAAATAATATGGCATAACAAAATTTTGTGTATATGAAGAATTCTTAAAAAAAATAGTCCTACATGTATGAGAGATTTGCAATACATACAAACAACGTATATATTCTACTTCTTATCACGAAAGATAGTTACAAACATGTATTTACCTATGTACTATAACCCAAATTTAGGAGCTAAAATTGCAAGTGTTAAATTTAAAATTGATACAAATTTTATATAGCAATAACCAAGTTTGAAGTTTAACCATTATAAACAAAAAGTAAGTTTCATAAAATTTGTCATGAATGATTTGCTTAAAGAGAAACATTAAAGTTTTATCACAGCCAAAAACAAATTATCTCAAATCCACTGACGAGGGAAAAACGGAAATCTTCGACAAATTCTCAATTTATCCAAATATTACGCTTATGATTATTTAGAATTGCTAAACACAAATATCTACTAAGAAAAATATATGTATTCCTTTAGCACAGTTGATTTCTTACATTTACCACACAAATTCGTATTTAATACAATAGAGTGGTCCAAAACTAGTAAAGTCGGATAAAAAAACATATCCCTATTTTTTATTTTGAAATAAAATAGTATATAGAGGTCGCTCAAAGAGTTTGAAGTTTTCCATGTATTTTATGTGAGAAAAACAAGTTTTCGTAGAAATGCTATAGAATTCTTGAAAATTAATATTTATCGATGGGAACACTAAACAGAGTCTTCAGAAGAGGAGTCTTCAGGAGATTCCCACTAATAATACCCAATTGTTTATTTATGCATTTATTAATAGTAATTATATTTTATAGATCCGCCAAAACCCCCAGAAAATGCCTGCATATACAATGGGGGGATACATAAAAAATCTTTAGTATTAAAAAATGGTTAAATAAACAATTGGGTACTATTATTGGCAGTCTTCTGTGGAGAAACAAAGTTTTGTGGTCAAAAATATTGATTTTCAAGAATTCTATACCATTTCTACGAAAACTTGTTTTACCCCATATATGTATGTACATGGTAAAACTTGAGCGTTTGCACCGACCTCAAAGTATTTTTTTTATTTCAAATTAAAAAAAAAAACACGGGTATAATTTTTTTCGGTATAGAACAATCCTAGTGGATGAAAGCATTGAAATTCGGACTTTACTTTTCCACATGCATTTTTGGACCACCCTATATACATTACATATATATGTATGTATGCATAAATATATCCGCACTATCGTCAATAATTGTCATTAAAACGACTTTTCACAACCACACTTTCACAAAATCCACGCTACACCGTTTACATATTTTCATAAGAAATATTCCCTTTTTATCTCTTCCCCATATTACACATTCTTATTGCATGCCACCACTTTTCCGTCCAGGGTCCTGATCACATACATGTCTCGAAATTCTACAAAGAAGCCAAAAATGGCAAATTCATCAGCTACATTACCGAGAATGTGCGCACCCTGTATCAGACATTTCGCGAAGGTGCCTACTCCTCCAACAATGGACCGTGCTTGGGTTGGCGCGAGACTCTCACATCACCATATCAGGTAAGTTTGCATATGAATGGGTAACAGCTACTGTTATTGAAGTGTGATAACATACCTAAAATAAGCAAAAATTAAATAAAACTATACTTGTTTACCCCCCTCTGTACCAAAGTGGATCAATTACGATGAGGCGTTGTTACGCGCCAAAAATTTCGGCGCTGGCATGATTGCCTTGGGTGCGCGTCCCAAGCAGCTGGTTGGCATTTATTCACAGAACCGGCCAGAGTGGATTCTCTACGAACAGGGTTGTTACTGCTTCTCGTTGGTCGTTGTGCCGCTGTACGATACGCTCGGACCCGAAGCGTGCGCGTTCATTATGCGTCAAACGGAAATGTCGCTAGTTGTTGTTGAGGACGATGCTAAGGCTTTGCTGATTTTGGATAAGGCGCCGCCCACTCTGAAGATTGTAGTGGCTATCAAGCCAATACGTCAACAAACATTGGATCGCGCCAGAAGTCGTGGTATACAGATCTTCTCGTTCATCGATGTAGAGAAATTGGGAGCCAAGGGCAACCATCCAGAGGTGCCACCGGTCTCCGAGGACTTGTGCACCGTTTGCTACACATCCGGCACAACAGGCAATCCGAAAGGTGTAATGCTGACGCATGGCAATGTGGTGGCCGGCGTGTGTGCGGTGATCTTGCAAATGGGTGAGTTATGAGCAGGAGAGAGTGCGTCTGCTGAGGTGGATGACAGAATTTGACTGAACTAAAATTGCCTTACACAGGTGAACACCGAATTCGCGCCGGCGATGTAATGATATCGTTTCTGCCGTTGGCTCACATGTTCGAGCGCTGCTGTGAGAATGGCATCTACTATGTAGGTGGTTGTGTTGGCTTCTACTCGGGCGACATCAAAGAGTTGACCAATGACCTGAAAATGCTGAAACCGACCGTTATGCCGGCTGTGCCGCGTCTGCTCAATCGAGTTTATGACAAAATCCAGAATGAGATTTCCTCCTCGGCGATTAAGCGTACGCTGTTCAACATGGCGCTCAAGGCCAAGGAAAATGAGTTGTCGCGTGGAATTATGCGACGAAATGGTTGCTGGGACAAGCTGGTTTTCAAAAAGGTACACCAAGGTACGTAGCGGTCAGGGAGCGTTTGATGAACGATATGCCAACTGATGTTTCTAATATTGTGTAGCTTTTGGTGGAAATCTGCGCTTAATGGTAGTCGGATCGGCGCCGCTAGCCGGTAACGTATTGACATTCATGCGTTGTGCATTAGGTTGCCTGGTGTTGGAGGGTTACGGTCAAACAGAGTGCACCGGCGCTATCACGCTGACCGTACAAGGCGACTATGTGCCGAATCACGTGGGTCCTCCGGTGTCCTGCAACGCAGTCAAAGTAAGTGCTAAGAAGGGCATATATCGAACGCCGTTTGTTTAAAGAAATACTTTACAGCTTGTGGATGTGCCGGAGATGGAATATTTTGCCAGCCAAAATACTGGAGAAGTGTGCGTACGCGGTTCTAATGTGTTCCATGGGTAAGAGCTCATAGTTTGTTCATAAATTTCAAAATTGTTTTCATCCTAGACTATTTAGTCACAACAGACAAGCTCTCGGTTTTCTATAATCGGCCCACAAAAACTTCAGTGTGTCTCTCCAAAAAGTTTGACATTCCAGAGTATCCTATAAATATTTTACCGACTATCTCTGCATCAATCCATCTCAATGTTATATTATTATAGATTCCTAATTAGGTAATCGTTTTTTAAGATAGCTACATACAACTATTTTTGCAGTTTAATATAAGTCTAGGCGCCCAACGCTGCCAGATTATTTGCGTGAATCCTGATTTTGATCGCATAAATCTAACTATCGAAATATGCGCTCATTTGCAGAGTATTTATTTTCACATTTCAGTCGAGTTCAATATGTACTTTGATTTACCTAACACAGCTAATGAGAGTACCAAATCTGGTTCCACACTATTCATTAGGGTTATCGCCCTACAACAATCTTACAGTCACAAAAACCTATACTCTCTGAACATAAATTTACTTTCTCTTTCGTTTGCCATCGTAGTTACTATAAAGATCCCGAGAAAACTGCTGAGGCCGTCGACTCTGAAGGCTGGCATCACACAGGCGACGTCGGCATGTGGCTACAGAATGGCACGCTACGCATAATCGATCGCCGCAAGCATATTTTCAAGCTCAGCCAGGGTGAATATATCGTACCAGAGAAAATTGAGAACATTTACACGCTGAGCCAATATGTAAATCAGGTGTATGTCTATGGCGAAAGTCTCAAGGTAAGTACATTTTTTTTTATTAAAATATGTAATTACAATTTTCATTGAATAATGTATGCACGCACATCTTCCCCGAATCCCTTTAAGAGCTGCGTCATAGCTGTTGTCGTGCCTGATGTGGATGTGCTCAAGCAGTGGGCCAATGAGAATCGTGTTAGGGGCACACTATCTGTGCTGTGTAATAACCCACAAGTGAAGGAGCTCATCATGGGCGATATGTTGAATTGGGGAAAACAGAGCGGACTTAAATCCTTCGAACAGGTGGGTGGTCACCTGATTTAAATGATTCATATTTTCAATGTCTCGTCTTTTTAGGTAAAGGATATCTACTTACATCCCGATCCATTTTCCGTGCAAAATGGGCTATTGACACCCACATTCAAAGCAAAGCGACCGCAATTGAAGAGCTACTTCAAGCCTCAGCTAGATGACATGTACAAACATTTAGATTAAATTTATGATACAACTGTATTCCGTTCTCTAAATGCATTAAGCTGAGAGGTACTTGATGAACGAGTGCAGCGCGAGCGCGAAGTGTATTGAATGATGGCAAAAAATATGCCAAAAGGGAGGATGCACCATGAAAATGAGGATAGTCGTATCTACATAAATATTATTCCTGCTCAGTTAAATTAAGAATGGGAGAGACCCTTGATAGCAAGAAGTTCATAAAAGTTACAAGAAAATTTACATAAGTATGTATTTTAAAAAGCTTAAAACCTATACAGTGTCTGAAATATGCGATTTCGAGAGAGAAACACTAGTCGATCATAAAATAGTTAATTTCACCGCAGTTTAAATATTTATAAAATATATATGTATTTCAAATGGCCAGATTGAAAAAAAAAACAATTTCAATTTTTAACCACACTCGTCGTTAGGGCACTACAATTCATACAAAAAATGTGTATTGTAAAAAGGGAAGTATGTAGTATCATATAAATGGGGGTGAGTGTATGTACATACATACATAGGTACACGGGAAAATAAAAGTAAACCAGCAGTATGATTTAGAAATTTCATAAAACGGAAAAATTCAAATATTCTGAAACTCTCAATTTTCGACCACCTCAAAAATTTATGTACGGAAACTTCAAATATTCTGCAAATCTCAATTTTTCAACCATCCCAAACATTTGTGTACGGACGTATATTATTTTAAATTAGTAAACGAAGAAAAAATTGTACTTGACTTTTGCGTATTAAATTCAGTTATTTAATAGAAAAATATAAAAGCGAAAAACATAAATATGAAGCTTTAAATTTTGAAAATTAATATTTGCGAATTATGCAGCAGAAACATTGGGCGATGTGAATAAAAATAAGCAATTGCTTTTTCTTGAAATTTCAGACCTTTTACTCGATTTATTCAAACAAAATTGAAGTAAAACGTATGAAGAAAAAGCAATTGCTTAATTTTTATTCATACTACCCATTAAGTAGGTATGTATTATAAATATTGGATACATGAATTTTAAGGCGAACATTTTTAAGTAAAGATATTCAAAAATATAGGAAGTTATAATAAATAGTTAAAAAAAATATTTAAAATTGTATAAGTATTTAGAAATGCACATATGCACTAGCTATTATATTTTTCACATAGNTTTAATTTCCTACTAAAAATTCGCGCTTTTATTAGTTTTACGATAAAGTACTTAGTAATTTCTCAAATATTTTTTGTTCTTATGTATACGAGTATATTTCATTGAATAAAATTATTTAAAATCGAATATAAATGTAAAGCATTATTTACCTAATTTTCTTAACAGCAATTTTTTTTTACGATTTTGTTTATGTGTACATATTATTTTATTTTTGTTGGTTTAAAAAATATATGAAATAAAATGATGTGAAAAAATATAATTTAATTAAAACAAATAAAATGAAATAAAGTAAAATAAAAAAAATCTTATCTTAAACAAATTTATTTAATAAAAAAAAAGTTGTCAAATGCCGACTTTAATATATTTTTTGTTTGTAATTTCCTTAACTTCTAACGAAAACTCTCCTAAGCTGTATTTTTTTAGGATTTAGATAAACAAATAATAAATTTTTAAATAAATATATTGGTAGCTTAAATTTAACGGAACTTATAAAAATATTTGAATTTCAACTTTCTGCCTTATCTGCAGCTTTCGCTTTCAGAAAAAAACAATTTCGTCAAATACTCACTCACACATCCATACATACATATGTATATACATAAGTAGTATATTTACAAAGCGATCAATTATTAAATTTATAGAATACAAACTAATAATTTACGCAAATATATTTAATACAAAAACAAAAATTTTATCAAAATAGGAAAAAACAATTAACTATGTACTAAGTAGCGTGCAGTTTAGCGGTATTAAAAAAATGGATACATATACATATACATACATAACGGGTGATTTTTTAAGAGCTTGATACCTTTTTTTT